TCTTTGGTATATAGCTTCTGTTAACTATTCTATTAAAGTTGTTGATATGATTTTTGGTTTTGTTTTTTTTAAATCTTGTTTAGCATCTTTGTTTCTATAAGACCTAAAATATTCTGTTTTCTACTTTTCTTTTTCTTTTCTTCTCTAATTCTTCTTTTTTTTCTATATTGATTTGCTGTATCAAGTTTGATGACTATCTTGAATTATATTACTAGAGATCTTAAAGCTATTTTGTTATACTGTCTTTGTTGAGTTTTTCTCTGTTCTTAAAATCTTTTGCTTCAATCTAGTTTCAACTTTGACTTTATTTCAGCAGCTTAATTTTCTTTTTGTCGAGCTTGCATCTTTTTTTTTTCTCTATGGCTCTTCTTCTTGTTTCTTGTTGTTTTGCTAAAGTACGTTTGCTAGATACTTTGAATTCATCGGCAAAAAAAACATACTGATATATATCAATATATTTCCATATTGGATAAATATCGATAACAATTCCCCCTGTTGGGTTATATCGATTTAGATATATATTGATACATAGCCATTATAATATAAATTTGATATATATCGATTAGTCTATATTTTCGATTTTTCTTGATATGTATTCATTTATTTGATACCTAATTTAATACTAATATTATACCAACTATAGCGCTTTAGCAATATAATGTTTAAAGCAGTAACTATTTTATTTAGAATTTTACTTTTACATATATTACATTTTTTTATTGTAATATTAAAGCAATACGCAATATATAATATATTTAAAACAATTTAAAGCTATGCACAATACATAATATATAAAATATATATTAAAAAAAAAACTAAAAAAAACATTAAATGCTACTAAGCAACCCCAAACAAATCATCCATATTTTCTTGGAAAAGATGCATTAATAAAGATCTTCGAGGAAGGGTTTCATTGAGATCAGGGTCATATTGAGGTGATGCTTCACAAATCATTCATCATCGCAAGGTTCACCATCAGTATCATTGCAAGGTTCACCATCAGTATCATCGCAAGGTTCACCATTAGTTAACATAGCATCAGCTGTTTTATGTAAGAGGCTATCACTCTCAAATTCTTCCTATAATAATGCATTAAAATTAATTAATATTAATATAAATAAAAACTACATTACAATTACTTACCAAATATTTTTCAATATAACGTTCATATATCTTTCGGTACACAGAATGTTTCGTGATCAGGAGTTTAACAGGATGTCGCATACCGCAAGTGTGAACGCACAATATGCGCTTGTCAAAGTCAGGACCGCCACCGCTGAAAAGGCTGTTCTTCTGATTGTGTACACCCAAAGTATATCTTCATTATCTTTTTCGAAAAACATGCGATAGCAATCACTTACAGCTTGACTTTCCTTCCAACTCACAATAGCGGTCGCAGCCACGTTACTTTTCAGAGAAGTAGCTTTTTACGCCCAAAAACACACCAAACCGCAGACCTAACGCTTTGCAAGACAGCACCATGATTATTCTTAATCTTTTGCAGAAGCTATTAAATAAATTAAAAATGATAATTCCTAATTAAAAATGATTATTCATAATTACAAACAATATATACTTTAATTTAAAAATATTACCTATATAGTATAAATTATAGTAAATAAATATATTAAAATTTTAAATGATTATAAACGATTATAAACGAACATAACAGAAAAGCAATACATAATTAAGAAAGTGAACATTACCTGACTCAACTATTTGCCATGATAACAGTTTGTAAATTTATTTGAACTTATGTTATACATAAAATTTAGGAACATTTCTTCTATATAAGCCTTAAAGGTTTCCTTTACTATGGCCTGGATGGGGTACACATGAAGCAAGAAGAGGCATTTTGCAACACCAGTAAATGTGTCCTATAGAAAGTCTAACTTAAGAGTTCTGATTACAATATCTACATATATCGACATATATTGAATACCCACTTCCAAGTCACTGCCGTTTTACTTCGGCCTTGATTTCTTGTACATCTTCATTAATCCTTTTAAGTAAAAAGTATAGCTGCTGATGCTGTATAAATAGCTTCTCATCCACCTGCCGGTAGTATTGGCTCGAATATTTTTCAATTCAGTTTTTTTTTAAAAAAAAAAAAGAAAAAAAATTCCTTTCAAAAAAAAAAAAAAAAAAAATGCACAAAGTGTGATATTTAAGAAAAAAAAAAAAAAACTTATATACCATCACGATCATAATTGCGTGGCTCATTTTGATTGGAAGATCACTGATCTTGTAATCAGAATCTTTTTTGTAATTAGGATCTTCTCTGTAATTGGGATCTTCTTGGTGATTGCTAAGAATGAGAAGAAGAACAAGCTGAAGTATCTTGTCGAGAGTAAGAGCTTTGTTGTGAAAGAGATGAATGATGTGATTGGGTAGTATATCCTGATTTTGTTCATTTTTCTTTCATTTTCTCAAATATATTCTGTACACTTTTAATACTTTTGTATGAATCGAATGAATCACTATCACTATTTTGAGAACCAGTTTCTGATTAAGAACGGGTTGTATTGGTAGAAATAGAAGTAGAAGACAATTGTGAATGGGTTGTATTGGTATGAGTAGGAGAACAGATTGTATTTATATGAGTAAGAGAACAGGTTGTATTGGTATAAGTAGGAGAACAGGTTGTATTGGTATGAGTAGAAGAACAGGTTGTATTGGCATGAGTAGAAGAACAGGTTGTATTGGTATGAGTAGGAGAACAGGTTGTATTGTTATGAGTAGGAGAACAGGTTGTATTGTTATGAGTAGGAGAACAGGTTGTATTGGTAGAAGAAGATAAGTTAGGCGAAGTGTTATTGATAGGATTTTCAGAAGGTGATATGTTATTAGTATCGTTGTTATCTATTTCAAAAATTTTCAAAAATGTTTTACCTTTTAATTCTCAAAGAGTTATATTTATATATCTAAGAAATAGATAACTGATGATGTTAGTCATTATATAGCAAAAAGAAAAAAAATTACATCATTTTGTCAACATATGTATAGTAATAATTTATCGAGCCTAAGAGAGATGATGTTAATTATTATGTAGCAAAAAAAAAAAAAAACTTTATTTGTAAATATACATGTAATGACAATTTATTTATCTAAATAGATGAGTGTTAATCGTTATGTAGTAAAAAAAAATTAAAAAAGCGAAAGTATACTTATCTCATTTGATGTTTTGGTTATTTGCGTATAATAATGATAAATATAATTATACGTATAAAACAATTTGCTGAGTTTCTCGCTGTGATTTGAAATATAACAAATAATATATACATAATATACTTTTTATTTACAATGTTACATCATATAAATAATTATACGCTTTGTTTTGATCGAAGAGAAGAATTGCTAAAATTAATATAAATCGATAAGGGTCATTAAAATCTCTAAATCATTGCTCGCTGCTATATCCTTTACTCTTTTATTACCATTTCTTACTTTGATTTTTTACAATCCAATATATTACTAATTCATACTTTACTCTTTCTCTTTCACTTCACTTTCTCTTTTGCTTCACTTTCTTTTTGCTTTCTCTTTTATTTCATCTTTTTATTTATTTATTTAAATCTGAGGAACAGAATTCTGTCCAAATTCCAGTATCCTGGCTTCCCACTTTTATTCTTTTTTTCTACTATTTTTACTATATATCGATATCTATCATTAACTTACATAATTTCTCCTATTAGCTCTCTCATAATCGTTCACATTCATTTATAATCTCCTTTTATATTTTATTATCTAATATTCTTTTACTTTCTTTAATCATCCTTTCTCTTTCTCTCATTATTTTTCTTTATTTCCTATCTTCTAAAATGCACTAGCAGTATGAACATTGTAATCGAAAATTTTCAAAATCGTTCACATTAATTTAACATATTTTGCAAAGTCACTCTTATCCCCAATAAATAACGAATCAAGACATTTTAGCTGACAAATTGGATGATAATATTTGGGAGCTTCCAGAATACAGTCCTTCAGAATATGACTCCAATGATTCTATAATTTTGTAGGTAAATTTTTATAATAGATGTAAGTTATAAAATGTTATATAACAATATATATTATTTAGGATGAAAATATATCAGCATCATCTTATTCCAATATAGAAATAGACCCTCTTTCAGCAAATGTGTCCTCTTTTGGAGAATGTGATCTTGAAGATTATGAGGGTACTTCATTAAAAGATGCTTTTGATGACTTGCAAAATCTACCAACCGTTAAATGGCCCAACGAAGCTTATCGTGAGTTTATGGAGATAGTTAATAAGCACTAACTATCTAATTCTGCTGGTGATTCTTTTATAAAATTCTTCAATAAATTTTTCAAATTGGGCGTATTACCATTATCTCCGTCAACGAGAATTGGAAAGGAATTTCTGGACAATTCTTCCATCCCTTACATGAATTTCAAAGAAACTCTGATTACAACGTTTCAAAACATTGAATATACATTATACTATCAACCAATAATCAAAACAATAAAATTCCTAATAATGGTCAATAGTATAAATCAATCGTTGGTTCTTCATTATGAAAATAAAATTGAAATAATATATGGTGCTGAACATCGAGTATTTGAAAACAGTATAATTGTAATTGGTGGAGGCAAGAAGAATCAATATTACTTCCAGGACAACAATTGTTATTGATTATTCTCTATTTAGATGCAACAACACTTGATCAAATAGGAAAATCCTCTGGACACCCAGTATTTTTATCATTTGGTAACATATCTAACTTCCAAAGAAATAAACCAGAATCCAAAGCACTTATCAGATATCTTCCAATCATAAAAGCCAAAGATTTTAAAACAAAAAATTCTGATAAATTCTGTTAACTAAAAAGGGAAGTCTTTCAGAAGTGTATGTCGATTCTTCTTAGACCTATAGTAGAGGAGCCAGAGCTTCACTTTGTAATTCAAGATCATATAACCACTTTCATTCCTCGAATTTCAATAATATTATCTAATTTAGTAGAAGCCAATATGCTAGTAAATGTTTACCAACCATTGTCTTCAAGAAGACCATATCATTTCTGCTTAGTGTCAAATAATGATTTAAATAATATAAGCTTAGCTTATGTCTCACCTAGAACTTCAATTAATATGAGACAAATGATAGATAGTGATGAAGAGCAGTACTATTCGATATATCCTAAAAGAAATGCATTTTGGGAGATAAGGTATAAAATTAGATTATTAGTATTATTTTAATTAATATTTACTATATATTATCAATTTAGACACTTCAATATATATGAAGCTATTGTTCCTAATCAAATGCATATCTTAGATCTTGGCCTCTTTAAGTATATGCTAGATTATACTAAAGAGCTTTTATATCAACAATATGAGAGCCAAGTAATCCAAATCTTTAAACAATAGTTGATATCGATTCCTAGATTTCATGGCCTTAAAATAATAAAGAATATATCGGACATAACACGCATGACAGCTGATGAATTAAGAAATATAATGAAAATAATAATTTTCATGTTGGATAACCTATATGACAATTATAGAAAGCCAGGAATTAGTAATAAGTGATTATGTCAAGTTCATTACAAATTCCTTCATATGTATATTGCAACTCGACAAGAATCGTTTACTAATGATTCTTGTAACCAGCTTCAGATATAAACCAATTATATAATTAGTACTCAAAAATGCTTAATTATTAATACATTAATTTTCACAAACTTTCATTATGGATTAGGCTAAAAACTTTTTTGAAATTTTCTCAAAATACAATCCATGTGGCCTTCAACTTCCAAAGTTTCATTCTTGATGCTATCACATAGTGCCAGCAATCCAGGAATATAGAACAATAAATAGTATGACCACAGAGATCTATGAAACACTCCATAAATATTATGTTAAAAACTTCTATCGCATGTCAAACAAAAAAGACTATATGAAACAGATAATAAAAATGATAATGTCTTACTTATAATATATAATCGCTATAAATCGCTAAAACAGTTTATTTTCAGATATAATCGCTATAAATCACTAAAACAGTTTATTTTCAGATTAAGCAGCAAAAGTTAACAGAAAATGAGGTATCCAAGAAACATCGTCGATCAAAAGGTTTTAGAAAATCTTTGTGGATGATAAACTTAGAAGACTTGGATGATTTTCTTGAAAAAAATATAGATAAGATGAACCTATTACAGATAGAAGGTTTTCAAAATCTACTAACTGGTCTTGATGAATTTTTTGAAGAGGAATCATCTATGTCTATTCATGATGACTCACTAGTAGAAACATATTCTTCCGCAGCTTTAGAAACGACTGATATTATTCGAGCTACATCGCATTTTCATGGAAAACCAATATTTTCTAATATTATTGTTAGTGCTAAAGATGAAGAGATAGAAGTAAATTGGTATGATATAGTAAGAAAATTGATTAACTAAAAATAAGTAGCGATACAAAATGAAATATATTATAAGTTATAAATTATTTTCTCTTTTAAATTTTTATAATAACAAAGATATTGCTAATACTCAAATTTTATCAAACAACAAATAGAGAGCCGCTAGAATTCGCTCTAGTTTTGTGGTATGACGAAGTAGATGAAATGTGGAGATGCCCAATATTGAGATTAATAAACCAATATAGTTGCATTTCTATAGAAAGTATTGACAAAACTGTATATATAGTCCTGAGATTTAATAAAATAAATAAATATATAGTAAATTCTCTTATGTTCTAAAATTTAAGCGCATATTTTATTGAAGTGATTAATTAAAATTAATATATATAGCTAATCATCGTTATATACGTATCAAATTATATAATTTTGATGATTAACAGAAATTTAAATCAGTAGTGATAAATACGTACATCTATTTTAATTCGATATAAATCAAAATTGAGATAAATTATTCGATAGATTTCGAAATATAGTAATATATTGATATATATTTATTTGATATATATCAGTATATAACAAATTATTGAAACCTATCGAATAATTAATTTCGATATATATTATTTATTAATATATATCAAATTTTATCTATTTATCAATATATATCGATAAAGAAATATATCGATATTTATCAAAATTATTATTATTTTTTTTTTTTTTTTTTTTTTTTTTTTTAAAAAAAAGCGAGACCGTGCCTCTGTTCTTTTATTAGAATTCATATGATATTACAAGTGTTATTACAATATTTTATGTTTTCTAATCTATATGGAATTAAAGGCTAAAGCTACTTTACTTTTGACCTAAGCTTTTGCTAAGATAGGTC